GCAGGAAAAGGAGCACAGGCAGCGAAGCGGTGCTGGGTGCTGCAGGGCTGGCGTCTGCGCAGCCCCCGGCCCTTATCACAGCCCGCAGCAGGGCGGTCACAGTTGGGGGGGGCTGCGGGCGGCTGATAAAGGAGAGCGTGGGCTTTCCTCCAGCTGTGGGTGTGGTGGGAGACGGGGCAGTAGATAGTCCTGGGGGGCTACAACCTGCCAGGTGCTGAATAAGGCTGCCCCGTCGCTGCCACGGCTGGGAAGTGCTTGGTGCCGGGGTGAAGGTTCGAGAAAGCCCCGGTGCAGCCGGTGCAGCCACAGCACGGAGCCAAGCCCATGTTGCCACGGGCCCCTTTGCCCCCTGGCACTTGCAAGGACGGACGCTTGCCCTAGCCCCGTGGCCTCCAGTCACCATCAGGAGAGGCAGGAGGGACCTCAAATGGCTCCGGAGAGAGAGGGAGGCCCTCCAGCCCCCAGGGTTTCTCCTGCAGAGCACCACAGGCATCGCGACACCCTCCCCATGCCCCCCACACATCGGCACAGTGAGGAGGGGAAGGAAAAGCTGGTGAGGGCATCACTGACCAACCTGCTCTACCTTCGCATGGAGCAGGGTGTTGGAGCAAGTTGCACCCTTCCAGCCGATATCACCCAGACATAGCTGTGGGCACAACTCTGCTCCGCAGAGAGCCTCTGCTCCCCGGGGGGTGAGGGCACACAGGCATGCAAGGCGATGTGGACTAGTGTGTAAAGCACCGGGAAGAGCCGGTATCAAATCCAACACAGACTGGGGCTCCTCCAAACCCAGCCACAAAGGACTCTCCTGGTCCCGAGTGCGGTGTGGGCATGGGCGGCAAGGTGTCAGAGCGATGCAGGGGATGGTACGTACATGGAGGGGAAGGCCTTGGCAGTTGTCCCCACTGCCTCTGCCAGACGTTCGCTTCCAACTGCTTCCACGCCACGTTGTGTGCCCAGGCAGGACACGGCGTGTGGCAGTGGGCAGTGTCCTGGCTCTGCAGCGCTTTCCCAGAGCTCTGCCTGGCCAAAGAAGCGCTGAGCCCTGAAGAGCCGGGATGAGTTTTGTCCCAGCCACTTGTCCCTGCTGCCACAAGATGGGGACCTCAAGCTGTGGTGGGGCCAGGCAGAGGGTGCAAAGGGCCAAGCCTTGGTCCTGCCCGCAGGGCTGAGCTGGAGCCTCCGGGCAGGGAAAAGCAGGTTGCCAGGATGGGCTTCCAGCCAGCCCCAGGTCCCGAGCACGCCGGGGACACTGGTGCCAGCTTGGAGGGGTGCAGTAGCCCTCCCTGGCAGCCCATTTCCAGTGCTGGGCGCCCCGTGCCTCCTGGGGCACAGGGGCACATGAAGCCCAGGCTCCCTTCACTGGGCATCCCTTGGTGGCCATGGCTTCGTGTGCCCCAGGACACAACCTGCCCCGTGGGCCAGCCACGCCGGCAGCAGGTCTCTAGAGCTCAGCTCTCCCTGCGCTAGCGTTCCTGCCTCGATGCCTCGGGACCTGCAGGCAGCGAAGCAGCGGCTGTCTGGAGCAGGACAGGTCAAATATCTACCCCACTGCTGGCCCAGGTTGGTTTTGAAGCTCGTATCGCTGCAGCTCCAGCGCTGATGAGAGAGGTGGAGGCAATCTCTGCCTCGCCACAGCAGGGGCAGCCCGAAATGGCACCAGGCGATGTGGAGAAGGTGGACTTTGGGGACAAAGCCCCCTGATCCAGGCCACGGCAGCGCTCTGGAGGCAGAGTCACAGTTGGCAGCTTCAGGGGAAGAAGGAAGAGGAAGATCTTCAGGTGGGACAAAAGCCTGTTCTGATGTCTCCATTATCTGGAGGCTTTTCTCGCCTCTCATCTCGCCTGTCATCATTCTTGATGGACAAAGCATCTACGGTTCAAAGATACCCACAGAACAGCACAGTATTTTGTTATATGATAGTCAGCAAGGCAAGTGGCATCTCAGAGCTTGTTTTTCTTGAAAGTGGAGCTAAAATGACATCAGGAAACAAGCTTGATGGTTATGACTTACTAGACCACAAGACTTTTACCACTCTCTTGAGAGATTGCAAACAGCATTGTCCAGGTAGCTTGGGTACCACTCCAGTTAGCATCTGATAAATCGTCATGGCCCTAGACAGTGCGTCCTGGAAAGGGACACAGAAGTACGTACTTCTGGAGGAGGCCAAGTGTCCTGAGGGAGCTTACCAGGAATTTCCTATTCAAAATTTAGCAAAGAAGCAGTGGGAAGACACCAAATTCATTTCTTACTGGAAGCTGACCATAAAACACCAGTTGAGAGATCCTCTTGCTGGAAAGCAGCGGGAAAACATCATGTGTTTTACAAACTGTTCTTCTGTTTATACATCCCATATTGGAGTCAATACGCCAAGAGCGTAACTCCTGATTGGTGCAACCTATAGGTCACGTGTTGAAAAACTGCTGAGTTAGCAGTTTGCTTGCCATGTGTTTGGACAGTTACTCTTTCCTAAATGTCGGATTTTCCATACTGAACTGAGCTCTCTGATTTGCTTAGATCATTCTGAATTTTAACCCAGTGCTTTGGAGTGCCTGCAGCCCCTCCAGCTCAGGAACATCTGAGAATTTAATAAGCGCATTCTCCATTACAACACATAAGTTATTGATGAAAGAACAGTGAATAATAATGTTGAACCAAGGACGGGAATCTGTCACAGAAGGAAAACAGACTCATCTGAAATGATTCATTCTTGGCAATGGTCATGGTTATTACTCATCTCTTTCTTTGATTAAATGTCCCACTGTTTTTTCGTGATCTGAAGTTGCCTGGTTTATAGTTCCTTAGTTTCCTCCTTTTACCCTGCAAATGACAAGAGACCCTATTGTCTCGTTTCTGCAACCCCATCACCCTCCACCACTTCCCAAAGACACTGGCTGTTTGCAGATGGCTTCAACCACCTGCTGAGGTAAAGGGGATTTTTTCAGGCAAGCAGTCTGAAAATACTGGAATGATTGAAATGTACTTTAGTCCACACTCTTCACGATCCTCCTGTCTTCTCCACTGGCTGTTTTGCCAGTGGGAAAACGAAAAGTGGTTGTAGAAGACAGAAAATAGAGTCAGCCTTCACTAAAATGCCAAATTTTGATGAAGGACTTCAAATATCTTCTCTCCTTCCTTTCCTAAAAGCAGAGAGTGCTCCCAGCGGAGCAGCCACATCAAGCACAGCTGTACAAGCCCCTCCAGACAGGACGGGGCTGACAAAAACAAGTATTCACAGAACTTAAGACATGGTCTCCTCTCCTTTGCCATCACAAGAAGTTCCACATTGCAAGCACCATCTTAGAAAACCTTTTTGCTGATCTCCCTCAAAGCCGACCTGTGAGGAACCCAGGTCTCGTTCTGTTAGCGCCCGTGACTGAAAAGGCATTAAGCATCACAAATCCCCCGTCCTTGGAGGTGTTCACAACAGAATCCAGGTCTTGGGTTTTGTATCTGGGAGGAGAAGGAGCAGATCTGCGGTAACATGATGTTGGCCACTGGTGCCTTCTCAGTGCTGTGTTGGACCCATTCATCAACTAAATGGCAGAAACTTTCCACACCTACTTTGCACTGGTTTTCCACCTTCTTTCTGTGGCTGACCATGTCTTTTCTGAGAGTTAGGTCCAGCCAGATTCTCACTGCAGCTGTACCACTAGCAAGCCTTTTCCATGAGATTACAGCATTTTCCTGTCAGGCCTGCTTGACATTGTCCGCTGGGGATTGATTTGATTCTCACTACAGAGATGGAAATTGAATAGAAATGCAAAAATTTTCTTCCTGCTGGTTGCCCTGTCTTCCTACCACACACCAACCACCTGAGAAGATCTGAATTTGCTTAGGGATGGTGAAACTGAGAACATAGGAAATGCTCTGCTGGTCACATCACCGGTTCCTCTCTCCCAGTGTTGTTTTCAGCGACCGGAGATGCCATCTGGGGAGAGCACACGAGCCGAGCTGGTTTTGATTGTGCTCCTCTGACATCCACGCCGGCAGTAATAGCAGTTTCAGAGGGTACATTCCTGCCTGTTGCCTTCAGCATCTGTCTGTTGACCCGCTGCTCGTGAATTTGCTATACCTTTTATAAACCTGCTGATCCTATTTGTTTCCACAACCTCCTGTGGCAGCAAGTTCCAGAAGTTCATTCTCCCCCCTGCTCCGTATAAAGTCCTTTTGATCCATTTTAAACCAATCTACCAGACTCATCGATGGCCTCTAATTCTACTCATGCAGAATCTGATGAGCGTCAGGCCCACAGTCACTTTATGATTTTGCAGAGTTGGCCCTTTC